CTTCTTGGGCGCCGCGCGGGCCGCGGCCGCCGCGGCCCCCGGGGCGGAGCCGCCCGGCGCGGGCGCCGCGGCCGCGGAGCGCGGGCCGTCGTCGTGGTGGCGCCGCATCTCCAGCGCCTCGGGGGAGGAGGAAAGGAGGAGGAGGAGGAGGAGGAGGAGAAGGAGGAGGAGGAGGAGGAGGAGGAGGAGGAGGAGGAGGAGGAGGAGGAGGAGGAGGAGGAGGAGGAGGAGGAGGAGGAGGAGGAGGAGGAGGAGGAGGAGGAGGAGGAGGAGGAGGAGGAGAGGAGGGGGGGGGACAGAGGGCGTCGTGGAGGAGGACGAGGACGCGGAGGGTGGGGAGGAGGGGGGAAGAGGGGAAGAGGATGAGGAAGAGGAAGAGGAAGAGGAGGAGGAAGAGGAGGAGGAGGAGGAGGAGGAGGGGAGGAGGAGGAGGAGGAGAGATCGAGGCGGATGGATGGGGGAGGGGGAGGAGGGGGAGGAGGGAGAGGAGGAAGAGGAGGAGCGGGAGGAGAGGAGGAGGAGGAGGAGGAGGAGGAGGAGGAGGAGGAAGAGGAGGATGGACGAGGAGGAGGAGGGAGCTGCAGGTGCGAAGTGCGGGGAGCCGAAGCTCTGGCAGCTGAGCTCTGGCAGCCGAGTTCAGCATCTGGCGCCTCAGGGCAACGACAGGGAAGGATCAGTCAGCACCAGATCGGCAGAGCGCATCGAGCCCGCACGTGCACCGGATTGGGCCGCCTCGGCACGGGCTCGGAGTCGGATCGACACCGGCCGCACCAAGACGCCCAGCAGCGCCGTGCAAGCATCGGGCCGCACCCGCTCGTCGGCATATCGGAATGACATCGGATCGGGCCGGCCAGAATCGGTATCGGATCAGACCGATCGGATCGACGTGGACACTGTAGGGTTAAGTCGGGCCTGTCCCCCTACAGGGGGATTTGAGACGAAAAATAAAAAATACCCCAAGAATAAGCAAACAATTGTCCAAAAATAGTCTGGGGACTATTTTGGGGCTATTTTTTTGCATTTTCGGGGTATGTTTGTTTTTTTCTGTGTTTCGTCAAAAATCCCCCTGTAGGGGGACAGGCCCGACAGAACTGTAGGGGGGGCATCGAAGAAGAGGAGGCATCGAAGCAGAACGAACTGCACAAACATCAACTTCCATGGATGGACGCGGATTTCCTGGATCGCGGCGCTGGGCGGCCCCAGCGCCGCCTTCGGCGCCGCCCCCTCGCGGGCTGAGGGCGCCAAGGAAGGGGGGCGCCGCGCATGTCCAAGAGATCCTCGCGAGCCTTCGAAACGTTCTGCTTGTGTAGTGTGTTCGGCTGCTCGACCAGCTCAGGTGGCTCACGGGGGAGGGGGCAAGGGGGGGAATCTCGAGCCGAACTCGATACACCGACGCTGTTTCGGGCCCCGCGCTGGAACTCGCACCGGAAAGCGGATCATGGTGTAAACAGGATTCTGGTGCATACATGTTTGATTGTTGCTTCCCCGGGGAACACGGGAAAACAAGTATACACCACACCACCCCGACGTCGTCCGCGACCCTCAAAAAGCCCCGGTATTGAACAACAGCGCGCCACTCGTAATGTACACTCCGAGTTTCTCGATAAGCGTCGGGGGGGCGTCACCCCCGCCCACAGCCCCACATCGACCCCCGTCGCAGGTAGCCACCTGGCGCCGAAAGCGCTCCGACCCCCGTCGCGGCGCGACGACGAGGCGAGGTTGACTCCCGTCGGGGGGGGTGTACCGCCCCCCCCCCGCTTATTAAGAAACCTGGAGCACAGGTGCTTCATGCTTGATCCTCATACGTCGTCGAACTTTGCGTGGCGCGCAAAGATACGTCGCAGATGTCTGCAGGTGCCCCTGACGTCCTGACGTGGTAGTGCACGCGCGCCCAAACCTGCCACGCAACGTCAGAATCCACCTGAGTACCCCCCCCCACCACGTTTATTGAAAACCCCAGAGCATGCTCCGCTTTCCGAGGCCCCGCGGCCCTCGGAGGACTCAGAGGAGGCCTAACCGCACTCCCCGGGGCACGGGCAGCTGGCGTGGGGCATCCCTGCATGGGAGAGCACCGCGGCCCCAAGGGCCCCCCACCGGCGGAGCGCAAACAACTGGCTACCTTTATGTTGCTCCCATCGTTCAAAGGGACCACATCCCAGAAATTCGCCGGCCCAACGGGCCAGAGGCGTGCTAAGATCTCCGGTAACTGGTTAACAATTCTCTAGTTCGCGCGCGCGGGGCGGCCCCTGGGGGTCCCCGGACGAAAAGTACCCCGGGCGACTCCCGGCTGATCCCCGGGCGACTCCACCAGAGCGCTCCATGAGCGCACCAACAGGGCTCCGAGACGTCCCCGAGAGCCCCAAGAAAGGCCAAGAGGCCCCCAAGAGGCCCCCAAGATGGTACACGAGGGGTCCGACATGCCACAAGATCGCTCCAAGACGCCCAAGATAGCCCCCAGACGCCCCAAGAGGCCTCCAAGAGCACTCCCAAGAGGGCCCCAAGAGGCAAAATTCATTGCTTTTCCTTAGGTTTTTGAGACATTTTGGAGCTTCCACCTTTTCGGCTTCCCGACGCCCCAAGACGGCCCAAGAGGCCCCCAAGATCGCCCCAAGAGGGCCCAAGAGGCCCCCAAGAGGGCCCCAAAATGGCCCAAGAGGGCTCGAAGACGGCGCAAAAAGCCTCCAAGACGGTCCAAGATGGCCCCAAGAACGCCCCCAAAGGGGCCCCAGAGAGGGAATACGAAACAACATTTCGAGCCCTCGGCCCTAAGAAGCCCCCACGAGGCCCCAAGAGGCCTCTAGGAGGCCCCAAGAAGCCCCCACGAGGCCCTCAGGAGGCCCCCAAGAGTCCCCCAAGCGGCCCCAGGTGGCCCCCAAAATGCCCCCCCGAGCACGCAAGCAAGTGCAAGCGATGCTGCAATGTGCTCTCCTTTCGGTAGACTTCCAACGGGGCCCCTACAGACTTACAACAAGCGTCAAGAACCGGACCTGCCCAAAAAGCACTGTCCAGGAGCGTTCACAAGTGCCGCGAAGAAGCCCTCCTTACGCCGGAAAGCCCGGAAAGCCGGGTGGGGTGAGCTGTTCTTCTCACCACCGCGCCCTCTCACACAATGGCTTCCGCACGCCGCCCAGAGCGCGATGCCTCCCAGACTGTATGGGCCGGCGGAATGAGCGAAGCGATTAAATAATTTCGAGCGCGCAGAAGAGTGTCAAAACAGTGTCGAAAGAGTATCGCCTCCCAAGGGCCGACACGTGACAACCTTCGAGATTCGGTACTTTCCTGGTGCTCGAGATTATTTCTGGTGGTTAAGGCTAAAGTAGGTTGGAACATCATAAGACTACCTACCAGACCACCCCAACCTGACCCGAAAACCCGAATTTCGGGTTCGGGGGGGTACGGGTTCCATATGTGTTTGTCCCCATGCTCCCCGCCCCTCCCTCCACGAACTGCCCCCCCTCCCCCCCCTCACTGGAAATGGAGGGCAAATGGAAGCCTTCGGGTCAGGTTGGGGTGGCTTGGTGGGTGGTGAACAGCGGCGTGGGCGGGAGGGACATCGAGCTTCCCCTGCCGCGCCGCAAGCGGCTGGCATGTCAAACAGGGGCACCGCGGCCCGCTGGGAAAGTCGCTGTTGAAGGGGCCATGGAACACACAAATAAATCTACAAAAATAGCAGGATCCCCCTTGTTTTCTTGTATTTTCTGGGTTTTTGTATCCGCCCCCACTTCCCACATTTTCCCATATTTTCTTGGGAATCGACGATTAATTGTGTCTGTGTGTTTCTTCCCCTCCCGAGTGAACGGGCAGCACCGCCACGACGCACGGACGGGCGACAGACGGGTGACAGGCAGACCGGACAGACAGACAGACAGACAGACAGACAGACAGACAGACAAGACGACAAGCGCAGACACCGCTAGCCATCACGGCCAGAAGGCGCGCGAGGCGGCACATCCACTCGGGACTCCGACCCGGAGTCAGCGATACGTGTATCGGCGGTGGACTAACCTCCCTTGCGTAGACCTCCCCTGAGTGAAAACGGCCTGGGACCGAAACCGACGGGCCTGGACCCGCAAAAATGACGGCCGCGACGCCCTCTCGCGAACCGAAAACAGCCAATTCGCTTATCGACGTGTCAGGGTAGGAGGTCTGTCCACCCCCGAGTGCAGCCGACAGAGCGGCGGCGCGCTCCCGACGGCGACTCCGCACGTCTGTGGGCGGGGCGGGGCATGGAGCCCCCCTCTGCTGTGAGCGACCGTTTGGGGGTCGACGCGTGCCCCCGCTGAGCCTAGGCTCAGGTCGGGCGATACCCCAAAAATACTTCCAAAAGATCAAATTATCCCGGCAAAGCAACCTAACAGCGATGTGTAGGAGCATATCTGGAAGCATTCCCCTTAAGATTCAGATGAGAATCCAGTTGTAGAATTGTGCTGTTCTCGCAGTCGTAGTCGCATTCGCGATGACAGTCGCAGTGGCAACGGCAGTCACAGACACAGCCTCAGCCTCAGCCTGCCTCAGCCTCAGCCTCAGCCTGCCTCAGCCTCAGCCTGCCTCAGCCTCAGCCTCAGCCTGCTTCAGCCTCAGCCTCAGTCTGCCTTCAGCCTCGGCCTCAGCCTCAGCCTGCCTCAGCCTCAGCCTGCATCAGCCTCAGCCTCAGCCTCAGCCTGCCTCAGCATCAGCCTGCCTCAGCCTCAGCCTCAGCCTGCCTCAGCATTCAAAATGTGGCCCGGGAATGGAATTCTGGGAACTCGAAGAACACGAAGTGGCCTACAGTTGGCTCCGGGCATTCAAAATCATGCCCAGGAATGGAGTTCTGGGAACTCGAAGACCACGAAGTGGCCTACAGTTGGCTCCGGGCATCAAAATCTGGCCCGGGAATGGAGTTCTGGGAACTCGAAGAGCACGAAGTGGCCTACAGTTGGCTCCGGGCATTCAAAATCTGGCCCTGGAATGGAGTTCTGGGGACTCGAAGACCACGAAGTGGCCTACAGTTGGCTCCGGGCATTCAAAATGTGGCCCGGGAATGGAGTTCTGGGAACTCGAAGAGCACGAAGTGGCCTACAGTTGGCTCCGGGCATCCAAAATGTGGCCCGGGAATGGAATTCTGGGAACTCGATGAG